CTCACAAGTGGATTTACACAGCAGTGCGTTTATGTGTAGATCATTGACCTATAGAAGACTAGACAAACTTCTCGATTTTACAAAACGTGCCGCCCGGCAACGCTGTAGAAAGGCAAGCGTTTTTCTGCGGCGCTTAGCAACCATTGGAACTGCTATCCGCGGGGGTTTCGCGGTGCCGTATGGAGCGAAAATGACGAGAAACTGCTCTGCGATCGGGTGTAGTAAGAGGCAGGGTGATCGGCCACGGCATGGAGATAGCTTGTCATTCCACAAGTAAGTATTTTCGAGCTTGATCGTGCATTGATTTTGTTGTATGCCGATCTGCGCCATAACTGTCAACCTGCGTATTTGCTGGTAATCGAGGTGGGGATGGAAAGTTATATCATAAATTGTTTTGCTCTGATACGCTGTGTGCTTTCCTGCTATCATCTAGGCATTTTATCACAACTGAATCCAGTTGCATCCACCTGTAGGATAACAAATATGCATGTTGGCGAGTAGGAAGATGGAATGAAGAACATCTAAGAACCAGAAGGAAAATACCTTTCAAGGACAGGCGACATCAATGTTTATCACTTCTGAAAGGCTGTCGTCCCCGCAGGGGCACCGGCTTCGGTCGGTGTAGGGGACTACGCCCCCTCGGGTCCCAGCTCCGGAAACGGGTGGACAGCGCAAGCTGTTCCTCTAAGGGCGTAGCGACCCTGCCGATACGTGAGCTCTGCTCCTTGTTCCGCCCGCTCCTCTTCCCATTACCCGTTCTCCGTCATCCGGCCCTATCACCACTCCTCATCCTCGTTTTATCGGGGTCGCCGTGCCCCCCCCCCCCCCGCCCCACGTTCCCGGGTTGATCGGATCCTGGTGGCTGAGGGCGTCGTGCGGGTCAGTCACGGCGCGTCCCAACACTCCACTTTGGCCAGAATATCCGGAGCGTGGGGGGCCCGTGGGGCCCCAGACGGGTCTAGCGGCTTGTCGCTCGCGTTGCGGTTGGGTGCTCCTTGCGGGTCTCCGCTTGGGGCGCCTGGCCGCGCGCAGCGGCTTAAGCGGGTCAAGGGGCGGCGGCACTGAACCACGGTCAGGACGGGGAGGGTCTCCCCGGTTACACCTGGCCGTGTGGGAGGCGTCGTTCGCCCCGTATAGCACCGGGGTAGCCCTGGCGGTGACCACCTCCCGAGGGAGTGTTGGGCCGTCCCCCTGTTGGGCTCCGAGGTGGGTGG